TTTATTTTGACACACAGTCTCACTGAGTTATTAAACTGCCCAGGCTTGGCTCAAACTTGTGGTTCTCTTGCTTCAGCCTCTCCAAGTGCCAGAAAAAGACCTTTCATGGTTAGAAGCTGTAAGAAATCATAGCTTTTTGTCTCCTGTATTACATTACACTAAGAGTCACTTGTTCCTTGTCCAGGCTTATGTTTCCCTTCCGTACTGCCCCCCTTCCTCTCTTGTAGAAACCTTCTTCTTGGCATGCTTTTAAAAATGTAATTAACACACTATAAAGTCCACTTTTTTAAAGTGTATGGATGTATTTTTTCTGAATATTCACAAAACTGTGCAGCCCCCATCACTACCTCGTCCTCTGGAATTCCATCAACCCTAAAGGAAGCCTGTATCATTACCAGTCACTTTACTCTCTCCCGCCTCAAGCCTCCCACCACTAATCTGCATTTTTTGTCTCTATGGATAGCTGGTAGAAGATTTATGGCATGGAAATAAAAATATATAACAGATAATCTGTGAAGCTGAATGCACTAAGATAGCAAATGTAGACGACGAAGAACAGAAGGCCTAGGATGGGACCCGGAATATATCAGCACAGCTGGGGCATATAGGAATCTCACAGAAAAGACAGGTGGCCACAGACGGGTGAAAGTGGGTTATACAATCACAAGGTCCAGGGGAAGAGCTCCAAGAAGAGAGCAGTAATAAGGTCAAAATCTAAAAACAAGCTGGCAAAAGGATGTAAGCTGGAGAAAGACAGCCACTCTAACACACGGTGCTGAAAAACTGGACAGCCTTAAGCATAAGAGTAAGACTACATCTTTATATCTTGCCCTGTATAAAAACCAATTCAAAGTGCATCTAAAAACTAAGTATGAGACCTGAAATTCTGAAACTGATTGTCTGTAACACAGGGGAGACACGTGAAGCCAGAGACACAGGCAAAACCTTCCTGACTGGGGAGACTCCAACTGCACAAGAAATGATAGCAAGACTCAACAAATGGGACTACATCAAAGCAGAAAGTTTCTCACAGCAGAGGGAAGCAGCAGAAGAAAGAGACAGCCCGTACTAGCCACTTCTTTGATATATGATTAATATTTAGAGTAAAAAACCTTTCCCAAAACACTAGAACAACAGCAACCACCTACTCAATAAAAAGGAAAAGGAATTGAGCAGAGACTTCTCAAAAGAAGTTGAAATAGTCAACACATATATCAAAAAATGTTTAACCTAGAGAAATGCGAATCAAACTACACCGAAGGTTATACAAACTAATACATGCTGGTGAGGATGAGAGGAAATTAGGACAGTTCTAACTGCTGGTGGGAATATGAATTAGTAAACCACTAGGACATCTGTTATGGAAGCTCCTCAAAAACTAAAACTAAGTTATCGCATGGCCCAGCTATACGATCTTTTGGTATCCACCTGCAGGAATCTCAGGCAGCCTCCAATAAGAACATCTGCATATCCACATTTATTTCGGCACAATGTGCAATAGCCAAGATAGGGAAACAGTGTTGGTGCCCATCAAAGATAAATGTGATATCTATCAATCAATCAATATACACAGATCTACATTCCTATGATTCCAATTCAGCCATAAAGAAGAATAAAATTCAGAATTTAGGAAAATGGATGGCAAAGGAAATGATCATGTTACGTGAAATAAACCAAATTGAGAAAGACAAACAACACATGTTTTCTCTAATTTGTGGAATCTTTTTAAAAAAATGACATGAAAACAGAATGGGGATATTATTAGACAGGAGAAAGGGAGTAAGTGGGAGAGAGGAGGGGTTTAGGGAGGGTAACGGAGGCATGGACATGATCGAGATATGCTACGTATATATGAAAATATCACACTGAAGCCAGCAAAACTGTAAAATTAACAGGCACCAATAAAATTATATACTAAATAAAAAACAGCTTAATAAGATATTGCTAATAAATTTAGAGCATATATAATTTGAACCAGTTTTAGTAAAAAGTTACATAAGTCACAAATGTCATAAAATAGAAGTAAAAAAGCAAGGTCTTAAAAAGGAAGCAAACAAGAGAGTTGCTTTTAGGTCTTTTATCGTACATATATGAAGGAGAGACAGAGAGGGAACATAAGAGGCAGACAGACAGAAAGGAAACTGTATGAGACGGTGAGTTGTTTACTGTCTGACTGTAAGAACTGCTTCAGTACATATGTATACATAATATATATATCAAGACAGATCTATTGAAACATCATGTTGTATGCCTTAAATAACAATAATAAGGAAATAAAAATGAAAGCTGTCCATTATTATAATACAATAATACAATGACATTAACGTGGTATACTCCAGAAAATTAAATGCAATTAGCACATTCTTGGCATTTAACTTGAACTTTCTAATAGTCTAGATAAGAAAGAAAATAATACTGGGCTATATTGTTTTTCTTTCTGTAACACAGATGTATCAATTCTTTAACAAGCATAGTCATAACATTTTAAAGGAAGGTTTTATTACACAGACTATTCTAAAGCGGATGAATAGCATAAGAGATAATAGCTTCAAAAATGTTCTTATGGCTAAGGAAAAAATTTGAAATGACTTTTTACTTTAAAAACTTTTCCAGCCTGGGCTACAAAGTGAGTCCAAGGCCAGCCTGAACTGCACAGCAAGACCTTATCTCAAAAAGAAAAGAGTAAAAAGAAGAAGAAGAACTTTCTATGAACTACTTCTGCTCAACACTGCAGTATAGGTTTAGCCAAGGCAATTAGACAAGAAAAAGAAATAAAAGCATTCAGATTGGCAAGGAGAAAGAAAGACTGTCTTTAATCACAGATTACATGCTGTCCTACATAGAAAATCCTAAGGAATCAACAAAAAATCACTAAAGTTAATAAATGAGTATTGCAAGTTTGGAGGATAAAAGATAAACATGTAAAAATCAATTGCTTCTATTCACTAACAATGAACAATCCTTGAACAGAATAAACCACTTATAACAGTACCAAAGTAAAATATCTAGAGTATATTCAACAAGAACAGTGTACAGTGTATACATAAAGACTGAAAACATCATTGCAACAAAGTAAAGTTAAAAAAATAACATTTTGTGTTCATGGATTGGACGACAATGTTCTGAATGTGGCAATACTCTTCAGCTTGATCAAATTAAACACAATCTCTATCAAAATCCCAGCTGCCTTTAGTTTTTTTAAAAATTCACAATTTAATCTTAAAGCTCATTATAAAACATGAGCAACTCAGAAAATGATACCATCCTCAGACTAGTTGTGTCATTATCACCTACAGTGCTTTAAATATGTAAATCCTTGAGCCCATCCCAAAGTTACAGAATAACAATTTTAGAAGGGATGTTTAAGTGTTTTTTAAAAGTTCCTAGTTGAGAATTAGGAACAAGCATAAAATAGAACAGAAGTTATTTGGGATTACAAGATTGTTACTGGTATTAAATTGGACATGGATTCAATTTGAAAAAAAAATTAAAGAAAAAGCAACCCATGGATGGTACTTGGTGAAAGAGTATTGTCCATCATATGCTCCAGGAGGAGACAGCACACTGGAAACATGGCCTTATACATGGAACATCAAGTACAGCTGGCATAAATTTTGACATATCTCTGAAATGATGGAAAATTAGGCTGTGGTATTTGTTGCAAACCATTTATCTCTTGAATTCGTGATAATGAAGTCAAATCATAAGGATAAGATTTCTGTTTGCTACATACTACATTGCTCTAAGCTACGGGAGGAAGTGTGAACTGCTGAATCGCCCATTCCCCTCTATGTGACAAGTTAAAAAGCCCAGGAAAGGGAAGTGGGGAGGCTCACAAGACAGTCAAGATGAAAGTCCAAGCAGTTTAGGGCTCTAAACCTGCTCCCGCTCCGACCCCCAAGCCATGCAGCCCGAGTGGGCTTGTGGCACCTGTGTTCTCTTCTGTGCAGCACAGAGACACAGCACGCTGCAGACTCACACTGCGCGCTGCTCTGGGAAGGAAGGAAAGCCTAAGTTTTTTCCAGGGGAACCTTGGAAAGCTTTTCCCTATGAATTAATGATGAAATGGTCCTATGCTCAGTAAATAAATTAAAGAGTTCATCTTGGAGCAGGGAAGGGTAGAGACACTAAGGGAATTAAGATGTGTTGTGTGCATACACCAATTCCCCATGATGAATGTAACCATTATGAATTGCAAACTAGTACTAACGAAAAATAAAAAAAAATTTAAAGGCCAATGTAATTACCAAGTTAGATATGTAACACAAGCTGACTTGAAATTACTAATTTACACTGAAATCACTAACTTCTTTCTGTGAGTTTCTCTGAGTGAATTTTAAAAAGGGCATAGCCCAACATGTTTATCTTATAACATGTTTCTCTTCTAATAAGCCCTGATCATCAGTGTTTTTTAAGAGTATCAAAGAACACTGTCCCTGCTTTATAAACTTCCTCAGAAGTCAAAGCGCACTACACCCTATGAGAAAACTAAGAGAAGGGAGCTAGACATGGAACAGTTTACTTTTTTACTATTTTGCCACTTATTTTTGAAGTTGGTTTCCAGTATATAGTATTTCTTAAAGTAGGCTGAATCTTTTCAGGCCCTTCAAAATCTCATTTTAAGGGTTTTGGTTTCTTTTGCTTTGAAGCAGTCTCTGCTATTGGTAAAAAGTTTCTCTTTTCACTCATCTGCAGAATCTATATAGTCAGAAAGACTATATGAGACTTCATGCTAAAAAACCTAAAAGATTCAGGTAGTCATGAAAGCAACCTGAAAAGTAAATAAATTAGACTCTCAAAGCTAGTGAATATAAATTAAAGGGCATTTAGTAAGTCAGTTTGTGTGGTAATAGTTTGTTAATATACCAGCCAGTTGTATCAGAAGGTAAATAGATAAAACACAAGAAAATAAAGCTAATATAAATGGCAAAATAATTGTTAGAAATGGTCAAAGACTACACTGCTAATGGGAAGGGACTCCAAACGTAAGTACTTGTTACCTGTCGTCACCTTGTGAAAATCGCCTTTGCAAATCCTCTTTATTCCACTGTTCTTTCTCTTTCCCTTGCTCAGGTGCATCTCGTGATTTTTCCTCGTCTCCTGATTCTCTGTTTTCCTCCTTATTACGTGTTTCTGCCACCTCGTGCCCTTTCCCATGTCCATCAGTTCCTTCTTCCTTTCCCTCCTGCTCCTCATGAACTATCTCTTCATTCTTATTCCCTTCTTGCCCTCCCTCTTCTATTCCCTTTGGCCTTGTGAGAGCAACACAAATGGAAGGCATGCAAATAAACACACACAGACACAAAGAAAAAGAAAAGAAAGAAAAAGAAAGCCAAGTCAAGAAAAAATGAATATGAAATTAAACAGAAATGCAATGAAAACTATCAAAACATAAGTATAAATTATATCTTTTAGTGTTGAAAACCTTTTGCATTCTATACCAGAGAAGTACTGGGTAGTCAAATTTAATCATAATAGTTTTAAAATCGTATTTTTCTTTTATATATTATAAAATTACATGGAAAACAAGCAAAAGCTGTAATCTCTCCATTTTATTCTATTAGGAGTAAAAACAAATAATACAGCTCAAGCACCCTTAAAATCTACAGTATGATAAATGCGAAGTATACATAATACGCATCATCTAACCATCACTTAATTTTCTAATAATATAATACTTAGAAGTTTATTTTTATATTGCAATATAAATAATGTCATTTCAAATAACATACCACACAAAACTGTCATCAGTTCTATAAAAATCTTTCTGTGTAAGAATCTGAAACGTGGACCAAAATAAAATAAAAAGCGATAATGGGTAAAAGTTCCTATCACCATAACGACATACAGTAATATTTTAGAAATAAAGGATCTTATGCTCATTCAGAGAAAAATGGAGACTTTCTAAAACACACTGAGAGGACTGGCGATATAGCTCAGTGGCACAAGCACCCGCCTGGCAAGCACAAGGTTCTGAGTTTGATACCCGGTACCAATAAAATAAATAAAATAAAATAAAACAAATCACCTTGAGAAGTGCTCACTTGCTGAAAGTCCCACTCACCTGATTTTCTTGTTTCCTCTTGGCCTTTCTGATTGGACCGACATGTAGCTTGTGCTGCTGAAACGAGAAGCACTACTAGTCCTGGAAACCGCAGATATATCACTTACATCACTGTCCGAGGATTTAGTGGACACATTATCTGCCCCTTTATGAGGATCCCATCCTGATCGATACTGTTAACACAGATTGACAAATACGCACAAGTTGTCAGTATGACTGCACCAAGCAATTATCAGCTTTCTCCTATTTCAGCACTTTAACTGTCCACAGAGGATACTGCAATACCCCACTCAGTTGCATTTAAAACAAAAGGGAACAGTAATTATCCTAAAAGAAAAATTCAATTTATATGAAACCCTTCATTTTAGCAAAGTAATTAGAGCATTTTCCCTACACCCCAATGAGGGCCATTGAAATAGCTTCAAAACAGCAATGGCCTTAGGGAAGAACATTTAGGTAAAATCTGAGGAATAAACATTTGGCTTAATAAGAAGAAGTACAATTTAAACTTCTAAACAAACTTTGGAAAAAATACGATGAAGTTGTCATTGTAACTTATACAGACCAATTTTAGTAGCATTATTCTCTTCATTATGTTTCACTGAGAACCTAGAGACAATACAAAATCTAATGATTAAAGCACTAAGTCTCTTTAGAAAAGCCGAGAGGAAAGAGGCAGTTTAAATTCTGAACAGTTGCTGGAACTGTGATGAACCCTAGGAATGCTAGAAAAGTCATCATTATTCACAACCGTCCAGACTTCCTGGAATTGAAATAACCAGACAGTTAACTGGCTCAGTCAGACACAGGGTTATGTTGGGTGTTCAAATATTCTGGTAATTGAGAACCAACATAAATGATTTATGTTAATGACCTACTCCCATAAAATACATTTAATGTAAAAAACTAATGGACAAAATTTTATTATTAACAGCAACAGATCATTGCCAAGAACCCTCAAGCTAGGAGGTAAAAGGGCTAAACTTTGGGTCCAGGGAGTTTACCTGCAGTAAAGAAAACTCTTACTAGTTCAGGAAATGTTACCAAATTATTTAACCTTTTAAAAATTAATTATAAAATCATTAGAGCTATAGTATTTTTCTTGCATTTCTTAAAAAAATTAAAACTAAACATGCACAGTATCTGGCATAATGTAAATTAATGAAATTCTTACTTTGTCTAAAAATCTATTTGGTCATTACTTGCTGAGACAGTATCTGCTAGTAGATTTTTCTTTATATGTATTTTATTTTATTTTGTTTTTTATTTTTTAATTTTTGTGGTACGGGGGATCAAACTCACAACCTCGCACTTGCTAGGCAGGCACTTAAGCCACTGAGCTAAGTCCCCAGCTTTACGTATGTTTTAAATATAATGCAGAAGCATCCTAATGTAGTTTATTTTTCTACCCACTGACACTGCCAATCTCACAAAGGCTTGGAATGATCATTATCTTACTTAAACCATCTTCTGTGATTTGAAGAGTCACTGCCTAGCAAACATTTGTCCAAGATAACTGACTCTTAACAGGCTGTAGACTGGGCCTGCCTCAACTGTATTAAAAAGAATACAATTAAATAAACTGCTGCCTTTTTTCAAGAGTTAGCTATATAAGTAGAACAAAGTGTTTGCTTTTGAAAGAAATATTATTTATGTACAGTACATTTATTTGGAGAAAATTTAGTTTATAAGATTCTTTTTCAAATAAAGTCTTTTTAAAATACCACAAAAGGTACTTAAGTCAAAGTCTAATGGAATATTTCAATGGGTGAAGCCAATATTATTTATATAATCTATTTACCTAATATATGAACATACATAAACATATGTAATACAGTGTGTATTTGTTTCTACATTAAATTACAGTAAATTTGATCTCAATTTGCAATGTATCTAGAAGTATTTCATTTCCTTATATATAATTTCAGATATTTTCTTTACCTAAAAATATCAAAACTTTAAGATACTTTTAAGGCTATAAAATTATTTGTTAAACACTTAGGAAAACTTTATCTTTCTTGTTCTTATAACTTATGATAAAAAAGAAGCCAGACCTGGTGGCACAGCTGGGCCTCGTGAGGTACTCCCAGCACTCTGGGAGACTAAGGCAGGTGGATCCCAAGTCCAAGGCTAACTTAGGGAGAACTTGTCTCAAAATAGTTAATTAATATACAGGCTAGGGATGTAGCTTAGTATGATGGCCCTGGGTTCAATCCTCAGTACCGCAAAATAAGTTAACAATAAATAAGCATTTAAAGTTTTAAAAAAAGGCTATCTGCCAGTATTTTAAAATGTTTTATAACTGCGTAGAGCAGCAACTTTGGCATGCTACATCTTAGTTACTTTTGCTAACAGGACTAGTCTGTCATGCAAACTCAAATGCAAACCCTGAAGTCCTAACAGGAAGCAGGGAGGGTGATCATGTTGGAGTGAGAGCCAAGGCTGCTGTGGGAGGCTGAGTGCCACCCAGTCCTCGCCCCTGAGTCACTGTGGGCGCCTGCAGGAGCCCATGGCATCCAGTCCGTTTCTCCAGTGCTAGCATACAGGCACCAACAGTGCTCTTCTGTTTGGTCTGTTGTAGTGATTAAACTTAAGAATGCCTGCACTTAGCACAATTCCTGATCCATGAACGTGTGTAGTAAGTGACAAACAAAAAAGGCGATGATGACGGCTAAACCACAGCTGGACACTGCTTTATATAAACCAAGGACTGTCTTAAGGCAATATTAGATAAAATACCCAAAAATAAACATGTATTTTAACAATGTCTTAAGCTACAGTAAACATTAATCATTCCTCCATACAATAGATTTGTTGCAGAAAATATAAAGCGAGATGAAAAGACTGGCTCCAACTTTGCAGCCGAGTCCCGGTGTTATCCTCTGGCTTTACCTTCCCATCTGGTTAGTCCCTATCCTCTCCTTTCACAGGGAAACACAATACCCGCCTGCATTGTGACCTGCAGGTTTCTCTCAGCAAGACCCACATATGACACTTCTGGCTGATGTAGCATGTGCTTTAGATTTCCTGTGTCTCCACACCTTACGCAGACACCAAAAGCCACTGAGTGTTAGGGGTGCAGGCTCCTCTGATGGGCTCCTGTGTGATTCGCTTGCCCTTCTTCTCTGAACTCTAACCACTTGCATGGCTCTTGGTTATCATTAGGAGTGTGATTTGCCTACTCTAGTCTTCATTTCCTCAAGATTGTCAGGACTTTTGGTTCTGCTGATGATGCACAAGTGCATACAGGTTAGCTTACGCTTAAGAACACAGAGTATAGTCAACACTGCACTTATCTTTAGCTGAGCACTCTTAAGACATTCCTGTTGGCCCAGGTAAAATTTTGCACATGCAAAGGCCTATCCCTTGATTTAGAGTGTGTGAGTGTGTGTATGTGTGTATGCGTCTGTACATGCCGTACACATGCCCACACCTGTGTCCAGGCTCTGCCAATGTGTTCATGTTTAATTTTTAAACTCTACTACGATACAAACTTCTGAGGACCAGGACAGTATCTTCCTCATGTTTGACTTTCTCTTAGCATCTCTGAGTCAAAGGCTTAATTTCAATTAATTTCTGAGGCTTAACCTTCTTAGTAGTAGGATAAAGACAAACTGTCTGAAAGTATTAAAGACCCTTAAGAAATATATATTTGAAATAACAATGGGCTTATAAACAACATCTGCTTACTTTTCTGCCCAAAAGATAAGGTCATTAAATCAAAAAGCAATGAGTGGAAAACACAGCTCTAGCTAAAAGCTCTAGTACGATGCTGCTCTGCTGTCCACTTGGGCACCTTGCAGTAAATGTGCTACACTGCTGAATTTGAAGCAACTGAGCAAGTTGGCCCCGGGATTAAAGTACAGGCTTCCTTCACTGACAGACATGTGTTAAGCAGAATGAGAAATCTGGACAGTAAAAAAAATATGAGCTATATTTTATAAATAAAAATTTAGAAGAACAGTTTGAATGTATTTAGAATAAAACATCACACATAATTTAAACCTTTCCCCAGCAATCTAAGTAATAAAACAACCTAACACTAGGATCTATACCTGAAATAGTTTAATGCATTTTTGCATTTATTAAATTACGAAGACCAAGTTACGTATTTTATCAGTGACCCAGAGGTATCTAAGTTACTGTATGAAGGTCACGAGCTATGAATGTGAGTAAGCACTTACTTAGGAAATGACTTGTGCTGTCTTGAACTGTACAGTACATAAAGTTGTAAATAATTAGCAGGTACTAGAGCACGGCTAATAGAGGCATGAACAGCATGCTCATTGCTCTCCTGAGTGAAACAAAAACAAAAGATTCCTGATCTCAGTTGAAGAAGTGTTCTGACAGGAGATCATTAAGTCCTGGAAGAGACTGAAAAAGCCTCTTCCTGACCACATTCTAACACTTTGTACACTACTGCTAAGCAGATCATAAGCTACACCAGTTTACAGGAAGTGCCCATTCCTTAAATGTCTTGGTTTCTAAGGAGTTTCTAAGTGGCCGGGAAAAGCTAATGTTCTTCCCGCATCTCTAAAATTAAGAGAAAAGTAACAGTGTACAGCTCTACTAAATAGAAGGGCATTATTAACATTTTAGGATGATATACTTTAGAAACAAATATGAATTTCTAAAAGAAAAGCTTTGTTTTCTCAAGTGCCCTCCCTGAGGTTCTTACGCTGGGGAACTTTTCAGTGTGACCTCTCCCAGCCCCTCATCTGCTTGGCTGTGGGACTTCTTAAATAAAAGATGACAGCCAGGTTAGGAGTTTTCTTAAACATTGCTTGCTCCCATTTTAACAAAATTTCACTCAAAAAACTGTAACTTGTGATATAAAATGTAGTCTAAGGAACTGATTACTACAAAATACTGGGTAGTTAAAACAAGATTGAAATAAAACCACGTTTATGGTTATCAAGAAGCACTTGAAGGAATCGTCAAAGCAAGGAGTTGATCAGAGGATCTGAAAACACCAGGGTGAATGGTCTTGGGAAGGGAGGTATAGGCTGGAGATCTAGATGGGCTCTCAACCCCACCTACGGGTGTCAGGAGAGCGAAAGGCGGGATCCTACACGGCAGTCAGTTAGGTAACCTAGGAGAAGAAAATGTTCTCCTTTTACCATTTGTTTTTATGTTACGTCATAACTCAGAGAAGGTACTTGCTGCGCCAGGA